GCTACGCGAAGCTGGAGCGGCGCCCCCACCCTTGCGCAGCCCAATGCGCTCCCGCCCCCAGGAATCAGGCGGGGGTGGGGTGACAGGGAGGGGAAACGCCGGAGGCAGGGGGTGTGAGGAGGGGGCAAGGGGAAGAGAAAGGGGGCGCGAAGGAACTCAGGAGACTGAAGATGGGGGCAGAAGGGCGTCCGCGGGAAGGCAGCGGGAGGGAGCGCGGGAAGAAGGGGCGCGGAGGGCGCGGAGGGCGCGGTGGGGACTGGAGTGCTGCATTTCTGGGGGAGGTGCTAAGCTCGGATCCTGGCCCTTCCTACCCCGCCGCCGCAGGGAGGGAGGGGGCCCGGGCGTGCGGATCCTCGCGGTCCCGCGGTCCCAGCAACCCCATCCAGAGTCCGGGAGCCTTTTGGTCCCAGAGTCTCTGGCCAAGGACAGGTCTAGATACCCTGAAAGGCAGCAGGACGGTGACCTGTCGCTGCCTGCCCGGCCGTCTGGGGGGTCGATCTGCCTCCCTGGCACCCATCCCTCGCACTTAAACCTGGCCGCAAGCCCCGCTGGAAGGCAGAAATGTTGGTCATGGATTGCTCTCCAGAATGCGTAGCCCGGCCTCGGGGCTGTCTCTGCCTGTCCAGCATGCTGCGATGGAAGCCAATCTTCGGGTCGCTCGCCACCAACCGCTCTCCAACTGTGTGCAGAATGGAGGCGAAAGGTTGGCTTTTCGCTTTCTTTTCGTTTGGCGGGTCTGGAAGGAGGCAGGATTCGGTGAGGGCATCTCTCCACAGCCTCGCGGCGGGTCTGCGAATGCCCGCGCCGTAGAGGGGCTTAGCCAGTGTCCAGCGCGGAGAAAAGACGCGCTCGCAGCGGGCTCAGGCGCGCGGAGGCGCGCGGTGCGCTCGGGCTTTTGCTCGCACGGCGGCTGCCCGGCCATGAAAACCTAGACCGTTCCTGTTGAGTGGGGTGTGCGTGTGGCGCGTGCAAGAATAAGAGACAAAGACCAACACTGTATCAGATAGTGAGACGGGCTGGATCTGAGCGGATTCCCAGGGTGAGATTTGGTAACAATGTTTATGTAAATGTGTAGTTTCGTTCACATTTGAACCTGGATGTGCACAGAGCTTGTGTGTTGGATTTCGTGTGCATACGTTTCCAAATGGATTGCCTGCGTTTTTGCCCGTGTGAGTCCTTTTCTAATTGTGCCTCCCTGCGGGTCCGCCGTTCAGTATGGGTCCCGGTATGTGTTCCCAGCTGGATGCTCGCTCCGACCCCTCCTAAGCAGTGAACAGCACCCTTTGCCACACCGCTGCCCCAGCCCAGATGGAGGATTAGCGGCTGTGAGTGGGGGCCTGCGGGGTGGGGAGAATCAGGAGGAAGAAAAAAGGCCCCTCCGTCTCTCCCATCCTGAGGCCCTGAGTCTGGGAGAACCCCAGTGTCCTCCCCTGCAGAATTTCTAGATTAGCTCACGTCAGCGCACAAGTAGGGCGGCCTGAGGGCTTTGACCAGGACAACAGCCCCCCACCCCCTCCCCATCAGTCCCCTCCTCCTCCCCTTTGCCTTATAGTCTCCCGGAATCTCCTCTCCAATTAGGAAACTTCCACCACATTGGACAGAGATGTTCCTAAAACCTCCCAATATACCTCTTAAATTCTCCCAAGAGCCTACTTGGCAGAAAACAAGACCGACCTCCCCAACCTGAAGACCCCCACTATGACAAGAAAAGCTGTCCATAGAGACCTTCCCCAGACAGATCCTCAGAATCATGATAGGATTCGGTACAAAGACAGGACAGAGATCCTTCCTCCCACCACAGATTCTCTCCTCTGGAGAGGCTTTGAAATAGAACTGATCTCCCATCCCAGAGATTTGCCCTTGCACAGTGACCCTCCTCACCCCAGTCCCCAGATTCTGGGGAGAAAGGACCTTTCCCCCAGATTCCTACAGACAAAGATCATCACCTCCTTATTTTCATTCCCTCCACTTCTGCTCCTGGTGAAATTCTTTAGGCGCCCACCAGATGATCTGGGCAGAGACTGGGGTTCCCTAGTGCTCCCCATACACACCCAGACCTGAAGGTAGCCATCGAGGCCTTCTCTGACAAGTGAATCAATGGCATACATGTATCAGTTGGTCATTGCCAATTCGTGGATTTTATGAGGGTCCAAAGTATTTACTTTCTTTCCTTCTCCTTTATGATGATCACTGCTGTGGGACCCAAGGCGGACTGTGACGTTCTTTCAGTAGTGAGAAATTCATTCATTAACCGTTCATTCAGCAAACCGTCTCACAGCCCTACTGTGCATGTGGCTCTCTTCTGGCTGTTGTGGGAACCACCAAGATGACCCAAGCGTAGTCCTGCCTGTGCTCTCCACCCCAATTCTTGTGTCTAGGGGGCACCTCCAAGAGCATTCAGTCCAATGCTCCTTTCTGCAATGCTTAAACCATCCCTAAAACCTCCTAGCAGAGCCTTTCTTTCATACGTTCATCCTCAGTGTGCAGATAAGCAAACCCGGGCCTGGCAGTGAGGTGTCCTGCTCAAGGTCACAGAGAGCCCAGGGTACAGGCAGCCTAGGGCCCAGGAATCCTGATGCCCCTCCAGTGCCTTCCCTTTCACGACCTCATCTTGTCCTTCTATCTCCTCTCCCTGCTTATTTGGTGTTTGGCCACTTTGCTGTCAAAAAAGATGAAATTCAAAATCAGATTCCAGGTTTTCTTTTTTGCTATAATTAGATGCCAGCCACTGGGGGGTGGGGGGGGGGAATGTCTCTGTTTACCTTCTTTCCTGGGCAGCAAGCTCAGAAGCAGCCCATCCTGTATTGAAAGGCCACGTTGTTCCATCATATACTAGCTGTGTGACATTGAAATACTTAGCTTTTCTTACTTTCCATTTCTTACAAATAAAATGTGAAAATAACCTCACATTGAGAGGATTCTAGGAGGTATTGCATATAGAATGTTTAGCATGTGCTAAGTGCCCAATATGTGGTAGCAATTATTTTATTATTGTTGCTGTTGTTACTGTTATATCCAATGGTCGTTTCTCATTGTTTGGGGGAAAGTCAGTGTGCAAGAAAAAGCCTATGATTGGTGCTAGAGTCGGAGTGAGTTCTGTCTTTGCCCCACCTCCCTGTCCTTGCCCCTCTAGTCCTGCGTTGACCTGAAGGGAAAGGAATGGAAGACAAGGGTAGGGCAGAGGGCAGGGGACCTGGCAGGCAGCCCTAGGAGACAAACAGGACGACCTACCTAGCTGGTAATGAGTTGAGCTGTGCTCTAGTGAAACCATCAACCTCCAAATTCTCCTAAAAGCTCCTCTAGGGGCACCCTCATGAGAAGAATTTGCAGCAGCTTGGCCCCCTGAGTTGAAACACAACACACAACATGCACACACACACTCACGCACAGAGAATGACAAGCCAACTGACAGGTGCACAAAGAAATGAGGCCAACACACAGATTCAAGCACACGGGTAGATTTACACAGATCGACAGAGCAACACGCACAGGCCAAGGACAGGCTGGCACACAGACAGACACACACGAGATTTGTATCAAGACTGCCTGCCACACAAAGAAACCAGGACAGGCACCCCTAGACCCATTCCCATAGGCAGAATTGCTGGGTGACAGGCTTAGACGCACAGCAGTGCAAGGACAGGCATAGACATGGAAAGTCAAACACACAGTGACAGATACCCAGACACAGGAACACACACACACACATACACACACACAATTCACACTGAGACCAACAGTCAGGCACCCACCAATGAAAGAAAACTCCTATATGGTCACTGAAGGGGAAAAGAGGAGAGAACAAAGTGAGGGAAGGGGGCAGAGGAGACATAAAAGGAACACAGCGGAGGAGGGCACAGGGAGACAGAGCAGGACATGCCAGCAGAGGTGCCTGCCAGCAGGGCACAAAAGAGACAGAGGTGCCACAGCCTTCCTCTCGGCCAGTGCCAGAACCCAGATCTGGGACAAAGGAAATGTAGGCTGGGTGGCTGTGTGGCGAGGGAGCTGGAGCTGTCCCTGCTGCTGATCTATGAGGAGTAGGGACAGAGGCTTTCATCCTAGGGCCAGACAAGTCCTGCTGTCTTGGGTGGGGGTGGGTGAGGGGCTCCTGGGACTCCTGCCAAGCCCCATGAAGCAAGGACTGTATTCTGGATCAGTCCTGCAGCCTGAGCCCTGGTGAGATGCACACCCCTCTTCCCACAGGAGATCCATCTCTCTGTTTTTGATGCCTTCAGTACCCAAGGGGTTAAATGCCTGGCGAATGGAGATGGAGGCCACTTTGGGGGAATAAATAGGGTTAAATACAACTGGGCTTATCTCCCGGAGCAGGCAGCAACATGGGGGTGGGGCACAGAGCCCTTGAATTAATGGCCTGGAAAGCCAACATCATGAGCATCATTTCGGGGCTGAATGATCACAGACAGAACCCCCACTTCCCTTTCCAAAGCGAGTTCTGTCCGTGAGCCTTTTCCTGCTGAAAGGACAGGCACTGGCTCTAGAAATCATCCTCCCTCTTCAAGCCGGGGCATTGCCCCAAACCCAAACCCAATTTCCTGATCCTGTGCCCACAGGCACAAGGGAGGAGAGAGGCAGCAAGGTTGAGGGCTCCAAGTGGGCAGCCCAGGCCCAGAACAAAAACCCTGATTCTTCTGCCTTTGGTGAGAAAAAATCAGGTGGGACTCTGGAGGGTGTAGGTGCTGCCTCTGCTGACTCGGGGTAAAACATAGTAAAATACAATAATGACTTTGTAAATATTAGCAGTTTACCTTGCTGAGGTAGTGAGCAGCCCACCTCTGGAGGCATGCAGGTAGAGGCTGGGTATCCTGTCAGAGATCATGTGCGGTGAGTCCTGCCTCAGGGCCAGGGAAGCTGGATTTCATGACCTCTGGGCCTCTAGGGTCAAGCCTTCTGTGCACATGGCTCTAGGAAACGCCAAAGGAACAGGGGACATGGGGACCCAGGCCTGGTCCTCAGAAGCCTTTGAAACTAGGAAGAGCTGCCTGGAACTGAGAGAGAAGCTCTGGACCAGACTTGGTGGGTTCGTTCAATGGTTTCTGCCCTCCTGTTATGCTGGGAAGCAGGGAGCGTGGTGACTTCCCCACTGAGTCCCTAGCACATAGTAAATACCCAATAAACATTTTTGGGGTTGAATTAAATTGATGTAACAAAACCATTTCCCCCCATGAACTTCTAGTACCATTGGTTGAGGAAACACACACACAATGGCCAAAATCCAGCTCTGAATTCTGTTGCTCTTCCAAATGGATTTTCCTTTATGCTCACATCACCTTCTACATAGTTGAAAGCCAGTCATACATACCTGTGTGAGATGTGCTTTTTGTTCAGAGCGGGCTTGGGGTGCACACTCAGGTTCACCACTCTGTACCCCCAGGAATCTGTGAGTCACCGGTTATAACAACAGGGAGTGACAGTGTTGGGGAGGCTGTGGTTCCAGTGAGCCCTGTGATAAGGACCCTGGACTCTAGGAGTGCAAAGGGGCTGTGGGTCTGATCTCCTGGACCCTGAAACCTGTTGGTGCAGAGCTAACCCTTATTGAGTACTCTTTGTGTGCCAAGCACTGTTGAGCACTCGGGATTATCTTCTTACATTCGCATTGTCATTTTAGGAGGTTGCAGGCAGGAACTGCAGCACTGAACATGGGGAGGTGGTGATAGATGGGCACAAGCAAGGAAAGGGGGAGGTTGGAGGGACAGTTATGGGGGTCGAGGTGCTGGATTATTTGGGCCAGGGAAGCTGGGGGTGATCCTTGCTAGAAGGATCAAGGGTTAGCCTTTGCTGGTCAACACCTTCCCTCACACAGATCTAGGATAACCTGCCTCGCTGAGTACTGTGGGCCAAATTGTGCCTCCACCTCCCCAAATTCATTATGATGAAGCCTTAACCCCCAGTGTATTTGGAGACAGGGCCTCTAAGGAAGTAATTACCGTTAAATGAGGCCATAAGGGTGGGGCCCTGGTTTGATAGGATTAGTGTCTCTAGAAGAAGGGATTCCAGAAGAGAGCTCACTTGCTCCCTCCGACATGTGAAGGCACAGTGAGAAGGCCAGGGAGAGAGTCCCCACCAGAAACCAACCCCAACCTGCCAGACCTTGATCTTGGACCCCCAGCCTCCAGAGCTGTGAGAAAATAAATGCCTGTCTTGTAAGGGACCTAGTCTGTGGTGTTTTGTTATGGCCCTCGAGCTGACTAAGACACCGAAGGCCTCTGCCAGCCCCGGACCAGCACCAGCTCAGGGGCCAAAGATTCTTCTAGGTCACAACCCCTTTGGACATCTGATGAGGCTGAAGATCCTCTCTTCAGAAACACACACACAATGTCGTGCCGTTTCAAATCCTCTGTAGCCCACCCGTGATGTTTCCCTGGCCTCCAGCCTGAGAGCCCAATGTAGAACTTTTGTTCTCTTCCAATTCTGCTGAGAACTGGATTCAGGTGAGAGATCAACGTTAACATTTAACAAATACTTATGCTGTGCCAGCTTCTAGGATAAGTGCTTTACACGTGTTCCCTCATTATTGCCTTACAGCATCCTGTGAGCTTGGGTTGGTTTCATGCCCATTCACAGATAAGGACGCTGGCGTACAGAAAGGTTAATTATTTGCCCATGGTCTTGCAGCTAAACAATGGCGGACCCAGGATGCAAACCCCGGATCAGAGCTGCCCTTATAACCTCAGCTCTCCAGGTGAGTCTGCCAGGAAGGCCTTGGGCCTCGGGCACCAGGGAGAGGCTGCAATCCACATCTGACTCCCACTGGCCCAACAGATCTTATGTCTGTTCTCGGGCATTCTTTCTGCACTGACCGCTCTAAGTGTCTACCCAGGAGACCCTCATGTTCCTGTTGACCACATGGGCAACTCCTCTGGGACAGGGTGGTCGGGTGGCACAGGGCAGGTATAGAGCAGCTGCTTGTGGATTTCGCTGAAGTCTTGGTGAGGTCTGGCCTCTGAGGGCTGAACTCTGTGTCCTGGGCTTTTCAGCCTCAAGAACACTTGGCTCTTCCCACAGGATGGCTTAGCCCCGCACGGCTCATAAAGGTTCCTGGGACATGGATTGTTTCCTAACCGGGGTGTGTGAGCTCTCACCCAGAATTAATTTTATAATATTTTATGTCTGAAAAAAAAATCTTGCAGCAGATTCTAGGTCTCCTGGAAGACCAAATACCGCTTTAATTGTCATGGGCCTCGTGACAAAAGAACAGAGGGGGGCTAAGTGCTGAAGCATATAGAACCATGCTCACTGCGCAAGCGGCGATTTAATTTTAGCAACACATAATCCATCACATGAAATGAATCGTGTTATTTTGAAATTTCTGATTGTGTAGCTTTCTTTGTATCACATGGGTGCATGGTCTTAGCTTTTCCAGTTGTATGGAGCTAAAAGGATAAGGGTTTATACGTAGCTTTATGTTGTGCATATTTTAGTAAAATTGTAATAAAGATAATTTGTCAAATGTTGGTAGGGGGCTGTGACTTATTTCTCCCCTTTAAAAATGGCTCACATATTACTCAAGTGTGAGAAGCATGCGTTTAATTCATTCTGACCAAGGAGAAAATAAGCTTCACACATTGGTGCCCCACACACAGCCCCTGCCACCTGGACGGGTCCCCATCCGAGGTTCTGCTCCCCCACTGTTGCCTTCAAGGGGAAATATGACAGCGTAATGAACAGTTGTACGACGTGGTATAAAAAGGCAATTAAGGGAACTATTGGACTGGGACAAGCCAGCGTGACCTGGTTAATAGCTCTGAGCCTAGCTGGGCTGTGGGGAGGAGGGGAGGCCGGAGGGGGAGGGGCTTTCTGTTTTACAGTGAGGGGCTCAGGCTGTTCCACCCACTGCCTGCCAGGTACCCAGGGCAGCAAGGCTGGCCTCATGATCAGTGGCTCCAGGGGCAGCATGAGGTTGGTTCAGATTTCAGCTCTCGAGTCGACTCTGCCACTCCTGGGTGAGTGACTGGCGCAGGTGACTCAGGGTCTCTCAGCCGCTCTCGAGTCGACTCTGCCACTCCTGGGTGAGTGACTCAGGGTCTCTCAGCGTCAGTTTACTCATCTGTTAAATGGGGATAAAAATGATTGTCCTAAAACCATGCCTCGGCAGTGCGAGGAAGGGTTGGGACATTCATGATTAAACTGGGCAGTGCACAGAGTTGCACGTGGAGTTCAAAGGAAGATGTGGCGGAGGCTTTTAGTTTGTGTTCAAGTAGGATCTTTCAATACAACATAATTGGTGGGTGTGTGCATGCGTGTGTGTCTGTGTGTGCGTGCCTGTGTTCTAATCAGCTCAGCAGGCTCCCACCCTCCTCGGGATGGGATGTGAGTTCTTTGATCGGATCTCGGGAGTTGCCCATGTGGTCATTCATCTTGAGGTGACTCCTCCCCTTTGGACTCTCTCTCATCTCTTCAGCTGCTCAGTCCCTGTTCTTTCCAAATGCCCCTGTTTGTGAACTATCTTTGGCATGTGCCACCCTTCAGGATGGAGACAGAAACACTTTCTGCCTCACTGGAGCATTTTCTGCCCATTCAGTAGCTTGCGGTGTTGGTGGAGGATTAATGAAACATCACACAAAAAGTAGGTAGTGAAGCACCCAGCACATAGTGAATGCTCAATAAAAACTAGCTATGCTTATTGTTGTCTCAACTGGAAAAGCTCTGGGTTTATATGTAACCACACAAAAAGTAGGTAGTGAAGCACCCAGCACATAGTAAATGCTCAATAAAAACTAGCTATGCTTATTGTTGTTCAACTGGAAAAGCTCTGGGTTTATATGTAATACCTAGCACAGTGCCTGACACATAGTAGATGGTCAATAAATGTTTGTTGACTGAATTAATGAGTGAAACCTTGCTTGGTTCCATTATCTACTATCCGTGATTATACACTCACCCTTCTCTGGGCTTCAGTTACTCAGCCAAACAGGGATATGATTCTGCCCCATAGTCAAATATATGCCTTGCAAACTGTGGGAACTGGTTCTATTCACCTTCACCCCACCCTCACTCACCTATGCCCGGCACTTAGATCTCTGAGAATGGGTTGGGGGCGGGGGGAGAGACCCTGTCCCCAACATGTGTTTATCCTAAAACAGGAAACCAGTGGTGCATATTAGTCATCAAGGCTCCCATTTCCCGTCCCCACAGCCTCAGATGGAAGAGGCGCTGAGAGCCAGCCCAGTGACACAAAGGAGCAATCAGGCAGTCTGTCGTTATGGCTCATTAGGGTGGGCTTGGTGATTGGCTGCGAAGCCTCAGCCTGCTCCTCATTCAAGATGAAGAGGGTCTGAGCTAGTCCACTGGAAACCCAGTCCCTCAGCTCCTCTCCAGCGCTGGATCCCAAGGGGGGCTCTGGGAGGCAGGGGTGGCTCAGGAAGAGACCCTGTCACCCAGAGCCATGGGGGCCTCCAGGTCTATATGGTGGCATCCCCAGCCACTGAGGGCTGCGTCTCTGGGCATGAAGCTTACCTGAGAGAGTTCTAAAGCCAAGTCTGCCTTCTCAGTCACCCAGCTGCCCTCATGATGAAGTCCAAACTGACCTGCTCCCCAATTCACAACCACAAGGCCCTGTGTGTCCCGACCCCAGCGGGTCTGAGCAGCCTCCTCTCCGGCAGTTCCTCTCTGTTCCCAGCCCACTCCCACTGACTCTCATTTCTGTGGTTCAGAACGCACACTTGAAGGCAGGCGACTTCTTGCCTGCCACCTCTAGCCCCAGTAGCCACTACCAACTCCATCCCTCCTCCATCCTGGGAGGATGCGAGGGGTGACTGACAAAAGGCTTGGAGTTCAGAGAAAGAATTTTGAAAAGCTCAGGGCTTCTGGGAATTTACCTAATGCTTTCTGGTCCGAGATCGATAGGTGAGGAGATCACCAAGCCCTTAATTAAGTCCTTGAGAATATGAGCTGTAACTAGGTATTAACTAAGCATTCCCTTCCCTCCACTGGCTTCAAGCGAGGGGGTGGTTTTTTATTCAGCATTTTCTTGTAGCAGAAATTTCCTATATATTTTTGTTTTCCTTTCTTTTCCTTTTTTTTAAATTTCATATGGTTCAGAAATTAAAAAAAAAATGTGTAGAGTGGAAAGTCTCCAACTCCTGCTTCCCATACACCCATCCTCTGATCCTCCCCTAAGCATCCTTACTGTTTTCTTAAGCAGCCTTCCATTTGCCTACACCACAAGTACAGATATGTAAACAAATACGAATACATATTCACACTGTCTTTTCCTTTTTTTTTTTTTACACAAAAGGTAGCACATTCTACACCTTGTTGTATACTCTTGTTGTGTTTTTTTCCCCCCACTTAATTTATCTTCGGAGATCTTTTACAAAGAATATAGAGATTATTCAGCATTCTAAAGGAGCTGAGAATAGATAGCTCTCTAATTATTTCTCCTTCTCTCTTCATCCTCTAATGTTTAGATATGCCATTCATTCATTCATTCATTCATTCCTTTATTCAATCTTCACCAAGCCCTGGTTTTGCGCTGGACCCCCTGTAGGGTGTGGGGCTGCAGAAATGAATTAACCCAGTCCCCTCCCCCCTGTTGCTCCTCGGGCTCAGAGGCTGCAGGGAAGACAAGGTTCCCTAGAAAGCCATGAGTGGAGGAGAGGCATCTCTGGCTCACTCTTTTAAAAAATATATATTTATTGATTTCAGAGAGGAAGGGAGAGGGAGAGAGAGAGAGATAGAAACATCAATGATGAGAGAATCATTGATCAGCTGCCTCCTGCACACCAGCAACTCAGGTATGTGCCCTGACCGGGAATCAAACCGTGACCTCCTGGTTCATAGGTCGACGCTCAACCACTGAGCCACCATGGCCAGGCCCTGGCTCACTCTAGTTGTGTGTGACTTGTCTTTTATATGCCATTGATCCGGACTGGGTTTTTCTCTTCTCTTTATTGCACAAAAGTTACCAGTCTGCCCATTGGGATGTCTGGGGGAGTCAATTTCCCCCATTTTAGGTCAAAGATTTTTCAACAAGATTGGGTAATTTCTAAGAATCTCCAGCAAGGGTGTCTGAGTATTATAAAAGCAAATTCATCATCAGAATTGACGTGGCTCATCTAGGAACAAGCAAAAATTCCCCTTATGCTCTTAACATAAAAAACAGAAAATGATGCCCAACTGAGCTGTTGACTGGTGAGGGGCATAGGGGCAGAATGAGAAGATTCAAAATGTGCCTGAAATTTTGTGAATGACATGTTCCTCATTACATGTGCGTAGGGTGAAAATAGTATGCACATATTATGATCAACTTTAAAATAGTGCATTTAATATTTTCAAGTTGTTGCAGAACACGTTATAACAGCACCTACCCTCTAAAGCCGCATAGCTACCATTTATTGAACACTTCCCCTCAAACACTGTCCTAGCAACTTTATGGGGTGAGTCTATCACCACCACTTTGTAGGTGAGGAAACTGAGGCACAGAGAAGTTAAGCACCTTGCCCCGGGCGGGGGGAGGGGGTGAGTGGGTGGGGGGAATGAGTAAGAGACACAAGTGGGTCTGTCTCATTTCAGGTCCTGTGCTCCAGCCGCTACATTAAACCATCCCCTGAGAGCCCGTGTCATCTCTCTGGGCCTCAACCTTTTTCATCTGTAAAACAGAGATAAAAACTACATCAAAGGACTCACTCGAGGATTTAGGGACAATACTTGTAAAGTATGGAGGTCACTGCCCAACACACT